AAGTGGTGGATATAAAGGATCCGCCCATAACCGCTTACAATTTCCTCACTTGATCTACCTTCTGTTTGTAATACACTCCGAGAGTTAACCAAACAACATTCGCATATTTGGTTCATTATTATTTAATCGAAATTTTAAGCTCAACACGCTTAACGCTTTTTAGGCAATCTCCCATTATTTTTTTTTCTCTTTTGCTTTTTTTATACACAAAGCCTTATCGGCTCATTCCCACATAATCGCTGGTGTTTAATATTTAGTTAGTTACTTTTAAGCGCACTTAAATTTACTGAATTATTTATGAAATTTTATAAATGTGTAGAAATTAATATTAAGTGCATATAAAAGGATTTTTTATTAAACTAATTGATTTACGTATTAGGAAATTTATTGTGGTCAGAATCGCGCCTCCAGAGGAAGCGTAATGCGATTTATGATTATCTGTCTATCCCTCTTGACTTTCATTTATCTTAGCTTCGACGAAGCCATGAAATTCCAAATCGTGTTGATAGTCTGACAATGCGATATTCGATCTGTGGCTGTTAATCCCGCATCACATCTGCTATCCGATATTTCCGTCTTAAAAGCAATGAGAGAGAAAATTTAAAGTTCTTCTACAAAGATCGGATTTAATTCTTCCATAGTCAAGTTTTAAAACGTTCGCTTTTCAATGTTGACTTATTGTTGTAATTGTTGACAAGCTAATATGTCAGGTTTTTCCATAGTATATTTTTTTTTTTTTTCACAAATTTACTTAAAGTATCTTTACTTTCTTTACACTACAAAGCGAATGTCATCTCTCACGTTGCGTCTTATACGTAAGCTATAGCATTCACGTCATTCTATTTAAAAAATGTAATGCGAAATGTCAAGACTATAGTCTCAAGTTTGCTTTGGTTCCACACTTAGGTTAATTTGTTATCTTACCTATCGTCGTATTATGATTTTGTAGACAAAACTTATCTTATTTGTATCGCATTCTGTCCGAATTAGACCATTCATTGTAAGATGATCGGAAATCAGTTGGGTCGTCACATGCGAAGACAGATCAGCTGATTCTGAAAATGATTGAAAACTGATCGGCAAGGCCGTTCGTGTCACATAACACAGACATAATTTGCGTGGAATTGACAAGAGCCTCATTCTTTCTCTAGAGTTTCATAAGATACGTGGAGGTAGCACATCAAAAGCAAACATGGGTCATAGAAGCTTATTGTTAAAGCACTGTGAAGTCCAGATTGTACAGTTACGAAACTTATTTCTCATGTTTTGCTTTTTCCTGAGTTTTGGACTCTTTTGTCATTAGAATTGCCTGAGCTGATATTAAATCAAGTTGATGTTAATCTGGCTGCGATGAGAAAATGAAGTGATTGTATATGAGTTGTTATACTTCAAACGTGGGCATGTGAATGATTAAAGTTAAAGTAATTAAGAAGTAACTTGGACATCTAAATTCACCTATTATAGGGTAGGAGAGCTTGACAAAACCAGCGAGCCCATCCCTGACAGTTAGGCAAGGTTTTTACAATATTCACACAAATGACGCAAACACTAGAGCATTCCTTGCAGATAACGGTCTTCTAACTGCCCTTAAAATATGTTTTCAATCAGATTTCAGATTAATTTTAAAACAAATTGACCAACAATTTATGCGGGATCAGTGAAATTTTTACTGCCGTCGAACAACCTAATGTCTAAAAAGAGTTATATCAATTCTGAAATTTCAATATATTTTCATTATCAATAAGATGAAGCAGCAGATATTAATTGGAAATTGTGTTTACAGCTTTTTATAAAACTATTCAAGCTAATATATTAAAATATAAAGGAGAAGAGAAAGTTTGTGCATTTTTGCGAAAAATCTTCGATCTGAAAGTTTTTTAATATATATATATATATATTTTTAGCCGGAAGGCTTAATTATGCTGCGTCTAAAGTTTATTTTATTACGCTCTACAAAGTTTGCAAAGTAAAAAGGAAGCATTCGTCACTCGCTTATAATTGAAAATAATTGAAAAATTTCGATATAATTTTTGAGGTTTTAAACTAATTAAATACGCAAGTGTAATTAATTAATTAATAATTGCTTTAAATGAAATATATTTCGTTTGGTTGCTTTGCTTATTTATTCATTTTTGTTTCCGTTTGTTTTTGTTTTTTTTTTGTTTGTTTTTTTCTACTTCTTTTTTTTTTGCTCACAAAATCAATAACCACCAAAATATAATACCCTAATGCCCAAAAAATGAACAATAACAATATTTTTCAATTGCTTTTACCACATTTAAATTAATTTTGATTTCCCTTAATAAACATACATTTGCACTTGCATTTGGTGATGCAATGCAAAAAGCCCTGCAAACATGTAAAATGAACATAACATATATAATAATAATATATAATCTCACCAATGCATTCATTTGTGTGTGCATTTATTTGTATATAAAACGCACACTTACATGCATATATATGGCAATAAACTAAAGTGCATCGAAGTTAATCATCTAAATGAGTATACACTTTAAATATATATATATATGTATATAAATGCGTATATTTTCATGCGCATGTATATAATGTAAAAACCAGCTTATACTTTTATATATTTATTTATAAGCTGGAAGTGTGTTTATTTTGTTAAATAATCGTTTTCATTTGTGGTGGTACTAGGGCCGGCGCAAGTGCACGTATTATTGTATTGAAAATAATTTACTAATGATAATTAAATGTCGTTTTATTCTTTAAAATTGTAAAAGAAAATAAAGAAAAAAATTTTTAGATAATAAACCAATGAATCCGCTAATTGCAACAAATAAAACAAATAAAGTCAAACAAATAGTTTTATATAAAAAACGAAACTATTAAAAAGGAAAAAACGGAAAAGAAATCATATTCGGTTTCGACCGATTCTTTCAACACCCAACCCTAACGGTAAGCTCGATCCAGTCAAGGTCGTATATCATAACATGCCTGCAATGTATTTATCAAAAATCATTTATATGCAATTTGGCAACACTTTCTGGGCCATTACACACATAAAGTTATATATATAATTCGTCCATTTTGTAGATTGTTAGGTGAGTTCGGTATTCAATTTGTATGACATTTTTGGACGGGCCATTGAGCGAATTTTACAGACCTTTGAACTTAGCTTGACAAGAAAATGACAGGAGAGGAGTTGAGAGGACTGAGATCAAATTTGATTTTGTAGCTAATTTTTCGAGTTTATAATCTTGATATCAATAGACGGAAAAATAGGCAGCAACTGTTAAAACGAGACTGCTTTTCAAACTAATCTACAACTTGGATTGAAGTGAAGACCAGTCCGACGCACATATATATGTGTTACAAAGTATTTACTATTGCTAACATATCGCCCGTGATAAGTACAATAAACGTTATCACTTTATGTCGTATATTTATTACCTCCCACTTTTATTCAATAAACTTATTTTACTGTTATCTCATTAACTCAAAGCAAAGGTAAAGCCAATATAAAAGCAATGTCCCATTGCTGTGAAGGAATATGGAGGAATTGTGGAATTGAATTGTATGTAAAATGATTACGATTTCTTTGTTTGGTTTTTAAATTAGTTTACTTCACATTGATAAGGCTTAAGTGAAAATTAATATGGAAATTTAAGCGTTTAAGTTCTCATAAATGAGAGAATTGAGAAATTGACATAATATGCCGAAAAGGAATAATTTAGCAGTGATTCTGCTTATCCTCAGATAGAATTTTCTTTTTGCATATCTCAATAAAATAATATGTGTTGGTGGAATTAATCAAAGGCCCTTCAGACGTTCTTTGATTTATTTCTACTCACGCGTGTTAAATATTAATGCAACGCACAACATGTTACATATAATTAAAAGCAAGCACAATCTCAAAGTAGGCGAAATGGCTTATGAATCTCTCTACGTGCTTTTTGAAGAGACCAAATAATGTGAATTTGATACTCTATATATATATATGATACTCTATATATATATATGATATGGATAAGCGCAAAGGTTTGAAATTAACAGAAGATCATCAATATATAGGATAAATAGAAAAGGTCCTACATGACTCCCTTGAGGCATTGCTGAAGTGACAGGAATCCTGAATCAGCAGTGAAGTGAGTTCAAAAAGCATCTTTAAAGATCTGCCATTACAGTATGAGGATAACCAATTACTTGAATGTAGTGGGACACCTAAGTGATATAACTTTCATAATAATAAACATAAGGATACGGCAATGGACTATGGGTATAGCGGGAAGGAAAAAGCACACTCACATAAATTTAAACGCATAACAACCATTTAGCACTTACTAGAGGCAGTCATTTACTAGGGGCAATTTTAGCTGTGTGCGTTGACACGAGAAAGTTTAATGTAGTCCGGGATACTTTGACAATAAATTCACTTACTATGTTAAGAATCGTTGATGCAATGCAGAAATTAGTAAAATAGAGGAGTCGTAACTTGTCATGAAACGCTAAATTGTACAACGTGGACAACTTCGATTAAAAACAGTTTGCTCAGAAATAAGTCTTGAATTTAAAAATTTAATGAATTTGGAAACAAACAAAACATAAATTTTGAAGGGAATGAAACAAAGATCAGTGTTAATGTTTTGAAGTCTTTCTTTAAAGAAATGTAATTTTCGTGACTGGACGAACAATTGTTATCCAAAGGTTTTCCGGACAATAAGATAGAACTACGCCTGACTTCGACCTGCGACGAAGACCTGCCCTCTTCGGTGCAAGCTATTTTCTTTGGGAAATAAAAGATCAGTTAAACACTAAACTATTTGCCTTAGCATAAATGTTTCCTGTTAGTTTCCCTGGGCCAAGCTAGGGTAACATCAAACGTATGTAAGTGAGTTATATTTAATAGAAATACTTTTGTATTGCTTTGACTATGGGATGATGCAAGGGCAAAAGTTAATAGTGCAAAAATTTGCCTGTTACGAGTTTTAAAAAAGTTATTAAAAACATTTCTCCATTCTTTTCATTTATAGAGATGCGTCTAGTGAAGTTGTTGTTGATGTCTCAATAAATAACCAAAGCGCAACTAGTAGCGATGTTGATATGTTGCCTTGTAATACAAATAAAGGCAACGTTGAATTTATTAAAGAAGAGCCAGATCCGGATACAATAAAAATGTTTGTCGGTCAGGTGCCAAAATCGTGGGATGAGCCAAAACTACGTGCATTATTTGAACAGTATGGACGTATACACACATTAAATATTCTACGTGATAAGGTTACCATGATGAGCCGAGGTTAGTACAAATAAATTTTCATTAAAAATTCATTTTTATAGATTTAATCTTGTTTGTAAATGAGAAACGGTCTTCAGAGATAACACTTCTTTGGTTTAATATAATAAAATTTTATGTTAATACTAAGCGTAAGGAGCAAATAAAAAAGTAAATTTAATCAAAGCTATAAACGTTAAGAATTATAGTTATAATGATATCAGTAAATATATATAAGTTTATTGTGATGAAAGAATTTTATTATTTTTTTTTTTTTCTTACCCTTATGGTATTACTACACCTGAATGTTTAAGTAAGAAGCAGCCATTATCGGCACTTAAAAGCAATAACCATTTTATGTGCAGATACGTGTACGAGAACATACATTACAGAATTTCTTTCTTTGTTTTGTTTTTTTTTTCTTTTATGCCGCAAAACATTCATTTTGCTTTCTTTTATGTAATTTAGTGATTTTAGGCAATTTTTTTGGTTTTCCTTTTCTCTCGCTCGTTTGTTTCTAATGAATGTAAACATACTGTATATGAATACAAATGTGTTCACTTGAGGTCACCAAGAAGCCTATAAAAATTCTTTTGTACGCCTGATGAACTTTTAGTTTCACACTCCCTAAGGAACAATATCTAGATTATTCCCTTTAAGAATTTTATTTACGTTTTTATTGAATTGAAATGGAAAAATACTCCCGTTAGCGGAGAAAAAAAAAAATGTGAAAGAAATGTTTCCTGTCTGCTTTGTTCTATGAGTTCGTGGGCGCACATCAATTTCTTTGAAAAACAAATTTTAATTATGGTCGAATGAAGAAATTATGGTGTAAATGAAACCTAATGTGTAATAGAATCCACTAATAGAGAATAAAAGTTTTCATTTAAATCAGATCAAATGGCTGACATATTGCAAGTGTCATCATAATGTACAGCATAACCATTTTCATCTAAGATATTTTAATTTTTAACTTCGAAATAAGACACAAACAAAAAAATTATGCTCGCCTGGATTAATTTTAACAAGTGCGTAAAATTAGAAAAGCTTTTCATATTTCCAGCCCTTAACAATTTAACTATAGATGGGCGGACAGAGACACAAACGGTAGCAGTGATGCGATGGCCGCAAAACCAAAAAATTGAAGAAGTAAACTATCGGAGTGATGTTCGTTCTGAGAGGCGATGTTCGACGGGATAAACGGTCGGCCGATGGGACGGTTACACGGAGAGAGCGTCGCAGAGAGAGACGATCGCAGAGCGAAAGAGTCGCAGAGGCGGACGACCGAACTGATGGAGGATCGAAACAGCACATGGTCGCAGGTAGAGACGTTCGTACAGACTAACAGACACCTACAAGGAACCGCAGGGACAAACACTCGTAGAAATGGTAGTTTTTGGGCGCAGACAGTTGCAGAAAAGGAAAGGCACTAGTGAAATGTCGGGCCGGCAGCAGATTAAAGGAACAGACGATTGAAAAAACGTACGATTAAAGGAGCAGACAGGCGGCCAGCAACAGATACTCGCATCTGTAGACGGAGGGAGGCAATTCCAGAGACAGGCAGAGGCAGATACAGACAGTCGTAGCAGCAGATGTCCCCAAACATACACCGTTCGCAGACGGGCAGATGTGCCTCAAAGACAAACACCACGCAAGGACGCAAAGTTGAGGGGGTGCGCAATGTCTTATGTATATATGTAGTTTAATTTCAACAAGGGGGAAGATAAAGTGATTGTTAATTTCCAGCCTCCAGCGCTAGGTAAAATGATCAGATTGATTATGCTGTCTCCTTCCCTCTCTTCTTATTTATTTCAATGTAAAAAAAGTTGTCATTTCCTAATATGTCAGTTACTTCGAGGCACTTCTCAAATTAACAACAGGTAGGACAGGACTTGTATTTATATTTCAGTGTCGCCAGCAACGCACACTAGCGAGGAGATTTTTTAAAAAATATATTGAAATATTCCTTACCTGGATATACAATAAGGCTGTGGATTTATTTTCCATCTATCTAAACTTGCTCGAATTCTTTATTATGTAACTGTACTAGTCGCCTTTCGCCGACTCAAAGCCAAGAATACGATTAAAGTAGACATTCGATAAATATTTCGTATTGAGTAAATAACGTTGCCGTTCTTCTCTTTAAAAAAAAAAAATAAGCGAATGTGTATTAAATCAAGTGCATGTGAGAGAAGAATACTCAGTAGTTCATCTTGTTGTCAGTATTGAAGTTAAATTGCGTTATTCTGTATATCTGCCGAAAAGGGTTGGCTCAAATGATATATGAAATTGAGAGATAATTTGATGAAATTTAAAGAATTGCATTAATTTATGAAAATATAAATAATATAGAATAAGTTAATGAGTGCAAGAGGAAACCTGGCTGAAAAACAATTTTCATTAAAATTAACCCATGAACTGCAGGCAGTTGGTTAATTTATTAAAGCCTCTCATAATTCTAACTAAAAGTTTTGCATTTCAATTCAGTCCAGAATAATAATAACATATGGATGAGAGCACATTCAGAAAGGTGGTTAACTAATGGTTCTATTAATAGATAAAGATATTATATTAGTTTGTAAAATACCTGTAAGTAGAGTGGAAATAAAAATATTGGTAAGAAGAGCGGCCTTTGAAAAGTGTTTCTGGAAAAGCATATTTAACTTTAAGTTTACGTCTCTACAGGTTAACAATTAACAATTAGTACAGTTGGCGTATCGCTAACCTTATCAGAAACGCTTTCAGACCAGATTTATAAACGGGCTTTCCAGATATCGGTGTGTCAAGTTTCCCAGATGTATCTTTAAGAGCTTGTAAATTATTAACGAAAATAAAAAAAGTATTGGATCTTATGGGTTTGTTTGAGCATTTTGTCTAATGGTGCGCATGGGAGCAAACTCACGCCCACTTTGCTTTCTTAATTGATCAAAAATATCATTCAAATGTCAATTCCTTATTGTAATTGTTGCGAAAAGTCCATGGAATTTCTGTAGTCTTGGAAAAGTAGAGTTTGGTCCTTTGTTTTTCGAAAAAATAGGAAAAAATGGGAAAGAATAGGTTTTCTCCCGTAATTGAAAGACAACGAAAATTTCTGAAGGATTCTATGCTCCATAAGCATTCTTTTAAAGCTCGGAAATTGAGATGCAATAAATTTGATGCATCCAATATTTTATGTGTTAATTACAACTCTCTTCCAAGTACGCTCTGACGTCAAATAGATTGTTAATAAGGCATTTGTCCACAAGCAGTAGCAGTGACAATAGAATTCGGCTCAAGTAGCGGAAAATAAATAAAATAAAATATTCATTCTTAAGCAATTTTTATCCACTTCTAACAAAAGTACGTCCTCCACTGTTTTTCTAGTACTTAGAGATCGACCGCAAAAGTAAGCATAACTTAATTGGCATTCATTTTACATTTGTATAAAAGTTTCCCCAAGAGTATGGAGTAAATAGAAAAACATATAAAATGTATATTTTTTTTTTTTTTTTTTTCCAAATATTATATGTTTTTAAAAAATAAACCATATCTGTATTTAATTATGTTGCATGTTATTCTGTTAATTAGTCCTTAGAATTATGTGGTAATGTTGTTGTTCAATGTTCTTAATGTTGTTTCTTCTTCTGTTCTATTCTACATACAATATTTACTCAGTCAAGAGTAAAACCTCAGAGTCTGAGAGATATTGAAAAAAATAAAAAATAAAAAAACAGGAAAAAAAAATACATATACATATATGGAAATAACTACAGCTTTAAGTGTATGTATATATGTTTGTATGCTACGGTCTTATTAAAATATTTACAGTACTGCAGTTAATTAAAGTGTATTTCGTCTGACGATATATGCAAACACATATAAGCTAACTGAAATGCATGCATACACGTATCGATGCTTGCAACTGTTTATGTATGCCTGTGGATATATGGATGTATGCATGCATAGAGGTATCAGTGTGTTTGTTATATATTTACTTGTTTGTTTTGTATAATGTTTCTGATATGTGTTTCTTGTTCTTTTTCTTTTTGCTTTTCCTTTTCGTTTCTTCTTTTTTTTTTTTTTTTTCTTTCTCCTCCAAATTTTGTCTGTTACACAGGGTGCTGTTTTGTTACGTATTATACACGTAAGGCTGCTTTGAAGGCTCAAGATGCTTTGCATAATATCAAAACACTGGATGGGGTAAGTAGCACTTAATCCGTAATTGTAACTCTGTAACTGTGACTGTAAGTCTTAAAGGTTGTGTATGTGTGTCTTTAGTTCTCTCATTCAACACAAGCTATTAATATTTGGAAACTGACAGCTGCAAATTTAATAACATAAAATATGAATTTTTTTTTTTTTTTTTTTTTGTTTTATTATATGCGGTTTATGTTTAGCATGTTAAATAGAATATTTTTGTACGTTATATATATATAGATATATGCATCTAATAACGAATACGCCCAATTTTAACTGCATTTTCTAAGAGCGTTAACATTCTACCATTTTTTTTTTATCTTTGAAACTTGAATTTTGTTCAGTATTTCTATCAATTAATATTTTCTCACTTACTTCTTTGCGCTTATACTCGACTCATGCATACTTGCAACAACGAATATGCGATAAATATTAGATCATCCAAAAGTTAATATGGCAGTTTTCTTTGTATGTTTACATTCATAAAAAATTGACTTTCACATATCAAAATATATATTCGAGTACAAAAGTATTCAATTTCTAAATATATTTTTGGCAAACTTTTTTCATAAGATCAATAAAAGCACGAACGTAATGAAAACTATTAAGTTATATGTGGATAAGAGAATCAAACCAACAATAATGTTAAAAATCCTGAAATGAAAATTGCAGTTAAAAAGCTCAAGTCTCGCCTTGAGCGATCGCCAATGTTAGTCCAAGGCAAGCTCCAAAGGCCACTATTGTAAAAGCACTATTTATATTCCTTTACAAATAAACTTTATGCTTCATTGCAAACCCTAAACCTTTCGTCAGACAAGGTACATGGGTCAGTTCATTGTGAAATTCAATAAATTCGGTCAACGATCGCAATCATTCTTAATCTAAGAGATCAATGCAACGCCGAGCAATGCCATATCGCATGAGTAGGCGTTAGGCGAGTAGTGCTTGCAAACAAACTGTCCGTCAGATGAAAGATTTCTTTCCAATTTAAATCTGTAAACGCAAAGAACATATCACAAAGGAGTTTCATTGCTAACAGCTGCCACTACTTGCAAAAATTGAGCACTTCGAACTGAAAATGCTTTTTCTGGAGACCAATCCGAGGTTACTGGCGTAAAGTTTGCCACAGGCGAGTAGTTCACATTCTTGTCTTTGCTAAACGATTGACTGCCTTCCCTTGTGTTGTTCTTCTTCTTTGCTAAAATACTTGGAAATTGCACAATATACGAGGCAGATGTCCTGTGGCCGAGGTAAGCTCGTCGAAATCCAGCTTGACATTTCAATCATCTGATTTGCCCATTACAAGCCTATTACACATCGTTAGTCGCTATCTGTTTACTGCTATGTTCTGATACTTAGGCCTAACTTCATACTGGCAAACCAAACCAAAGATATGTGAGGGCAAAACGAGTGTGCGACTTTGCTTCCTCACAAATTTAATTAGAAAGACCGAGCGAGAGCAAGAAATACGCAGATAAAGGAAAAAAATGAATTCTAATTTTCTTGCGGCTTTAATTTCAGGTAGCTTTTAATCTTCCATAAGATAAGTTGGAAATCTGAGGTGACTCTACTTAACTCTCTCGGTAGCACACACTGCACGCTAGTTACTGACAACCACTTTTGATTTTATGCTGATAACTTAAGATTTAATTTTTTTTATATGGACGCTTGGCCCCTAAGTATTCCAAACTCTAGACTTTAAGATCTGTCTTTTAGATTTAGGAAATTATAATCGGTAGGGACACCTTTCGTTTTTCCAGTACAATATAACGTAAAAAATGGAAAAGTGATTAACTTCCACCTCAGTGTTTACAGGTTCAAAAGTCAATGCGGTCGTAGCTATAGTAAATGTTCAATGTTCAATCGGTAAAGGTACAAAACTTACCGATAGGACACTCTCTTTCCCCTTTCCATACTTCTCTCTGACGATCACCTTGTTGCACGAACTGAAGCATTGCCTTAGTGGTCGGCTATGTTAAGAAGAAAAAAAAAATTCTAGGAAAACCCGAGCATCTTTTTAGTTCGGCCTGTCACAAACGAAGTGATACTTGGTTTTTTTGACAGATAAGAGAAATACAGTAAACCGCATTACTTCCAGGATAACCTAATGCATAAGTGTGTGCATACTTATTCAAGTGCCATTTTCTTCTTTCACAAATCTAAGCATATACTTTCATACTAATATTAAGCTTCGCTTGATGAACTACTTAGGGAATAATTGCAAACGAATTAATTAAAGGAATCCTTTCATCATACAACGTCAAGCAGTGGCTTTTCAAAATTCTAATTTCGATAGTTTCATGAATTCGCATTAACATTGTCATGTCTCATACTAAGAAAATGTATTGTATATAAACTTTATATCAAAATTAATGAAGACTTCAGAACAAACATTGAAAAGTGAAACAGTTTTCTTGAATAGCTGAAAAGCGTATGTCACGCCTTCAGGACATACGTTGAAAAGAAGAAAATAATCAGATCACGATTTTTTTTGTTTTGTCGCTAGTTGTGTCACTAGCCTTCTTTGAGTGTTTAAAGGATGCGAAAGATTTCTTATTATTAATAAAATATATGCAAGAAGTATGTTGTTATCATTAAATTATCTGCAAGTGTAACAAGAATCTTTTGCAAAACATACTCAAGCGTTTTAGTACTTGAATTAACCTCGAAGAACTAATGTGAAGCAAGCAAGAATCGTTAAATGTACTTACTTTAGTATTTGATAGTCTCTGTAATCAATCTGTCTGTTTACAGTAAATCTTATTACAATATTTAATTATGCAATAATCTTGTTATTGTTTAAGTACCACTTTTACCAAGCTACAGAAAGATATTTCAAAAGCAGTAAATCGTAAGCCTATCAATAATTATATTCTGCGCCATTTGTGGCACAGGCATGTATGCAACACTCACAAGAACTTGAGATAGGCGCACCTTTCATTGCACTGATCGATTCAGAATCACTTTGTAGTTTGGCGTGTGAACGAACGTCGTTGAAAATGATTCGAATCGAACCATTCTTTCGATCTCTTCGAATATAAGGCCTTCTTCTGAAAAGTCGTTATGTGAATAACTCTGTTGAGCGAGTAGTGGGTCCTGCCCCACTATAATGCTTTTATTTGGACAATCGTCTGCTCAATTAAGAATTGCAATCATCCACTTGTACTAGTATTTTAAAAGTGCATACGAATCATAAATAGATGTTCTTAACTAGAAAGCCAAATGGAAATATAAAGCGATTGTAAGTTGTTGTTGTTGTAAATACTTACCTAAGTGAAGATAATGTTGGGGAATATACTGTTGAATGACAGAGGGTTGAGAGAAAAATATAAATTCTGGGAGCGAGTAAGCTTTAGAAACTGCATGGGAACTACAAGCTAGTGAACGGGAGTGGTAGAAAGCCGAGACACGGCTGAGTTTGAAAGTGTTTAATGCACTTTGTTCACCTAGTCACCCAGCGTTGCTATAGGTTTTTCATTGTACTATCTAAACTTTTATTCTTGATTTTCCGTCCGTTGTAGTGCGTGCTATACTCTTGGGAATGAATTATTCGCCATTGCCATAAACCACTGTACTAAAGCTCTTTTATCAATGCCATTTTGATTGAGTATATGCATATATTTGCTCGTAACACCTCAGTCAACTGTCTGTTTCTTCTTTCAGGATTAGCTTATATGCTGATTATTACCTTGAGCGATAAGTATGAATCGGTTTAGTATACGACCACATCAATGTTAGTATTATTATTATATATATATTTACTTACTCACCTTTCAACTTTAAAAGAAGTTTTATAATATATTTTGCGAAACTCGTAAGAATATTGAAGAATTTTCACACCATCTACGTCTGAGTATTTCTACTCAATTTATCGTTCAGCCCTTTTTTGTTTAGTTCACTGTCTTCTCTCTAATTATAATCATTAATAGTAATATCACTGTTATTACATTACAATTATTATTGTATTTTTTACCAAAATTATTAACTACAGTCAATATTTTAAAAGCACGAATCAGTTTCTTCCCTTAAAATTAAGTTCGAGTTAAATGGTCTCTTTCTTCCTCTTCCTCTTCCCCTTCCTCTTCTATATATTATATAATGTATCGTTGGACAAAATTTTGCTTCACAATAGCTTAAATTTTGTAACATACTTGCATTTATTTGTATTGCAGAACGAGAAGAATTGAAGAGACAAGAAAACACCACAGTTACACATACGCTTACGCACAACAATCGCTTGTTAATTAGGTATATTAATGTTTACGAGAATTGAACTGAGTAGGAGGAAAACTGCAAGAAGTTCATATGAGCGTTATGGCGAATCTTGGATACATACCAATCACTTCAGCGTACGTGTCAGGCCAATAACCGATCATTTATAAGCTTTTAATGAAAATGTTCCGAATGGCGAGGGGTGGTTCAAGAGTGCTTAAATACTTACGCGGACGTTTATGCTAAAGCATTCATATCATTTTGCATCACAATGAAAATGAAATTTTACAGCTAATTATTTTTCACTTAATTTTGTATCAATCCAGGGTTTTTTAAATATTGTACTTGCCTAAGTAAGGATTTATTGTGGGTCTCTTTACTGAAGGCAATGACGGGGCAGGTTTTTAACAATTTCATCCATATGATCGCGCTTTTGATAGTGTATTACAATATACTCTCATTTTAGTGCGTTTCGAAGGTGAGCGTGCTTCTTGGACCTATATATGCCGCTTTCCCTTTTTCCTATTTGTTTATGAATATATATATATATATATATATGTCATATATATGTATATATTATATGTATGTATATATTATAAGTTTACAAACTCGTCGTTCAGTGTATATCAAGGTTTAGTGAGCTGGACATCATATATGGAACTGCATTTTGATATGTTTTTAATTGGATTAGCCTCGAAAAATATGCAGCTGAAGCAAAGAAAATGGTTAAATTGATTTGAAATGAAATGCAGTAAAAACTAAAAAGCGCAGTTTGTAAGATCTTGAGACAA